ATATATTTTGCATCAATGAGGACCGTGCGTCGATTCAGGCCCAAATCTCCGGATCAGGGGCCTCCGGGGTCAGGCAGGCGACCTATTCATATACAGGCATGCCCCTGCACCGCCAGAAAGGCAGCCGGTTGGATCAAAATGAGGCAAAAAATAAGAAGGCCAACACAAACGAGGACGATTATCGAGGAGTGTCACCTTGTATGCTTTTGGAGTGCCCGTGCCGCCGCCATAATGCTGACTTGAAGAGAATGTTCTAACTCGATGCTAACATAAACATAGCGTGAGATGAAATCAGCTAATTTCCAGCTATCAGCACATTTTTAAGTAAAAAATGCTGCTCTTGTTGACCAAATTTCTCAACTTGGTAATATGCGTTTCAATGCATCATTGTTTGGTTCCGTCATGGAACGTTTGTATGACGTTGATGTGCTGCCAAATTGGCCGTGCGAGATTGCCACCCCAGCACACACATGTAGTACTCCAATTCGCCAAAAGATGGCCGTGACCGTGCCGGAAGTGTTTGCTGAGACAACTATCATTGGGTGGCCGTGTTTTGGCTGTTGCTCGTGGTAGATTGACACATTTATTTTGAGCTTAAGAAGTTTACTTGCATTCATATGCTCGTTTATGGCACCATTTTTAAGTAATTCGATTGTAAGTCTCATCTCCGTAACCACTATCAATCATGTCCAGCCTTTTTATTACGTAGTACGAAACGTAGTTCGTCATTGAACCTTACACAGTCTGCTCAACATTGAATGGCAGCCAACTGACGTCCACTGGAGATCGAAATCGTGGACACGGACGCCAGATCGGATTGGCCCAACGAAAATACTCTTACCGGCCTCAAACCTCGCTTGGCGTATAGGGTGGCAGCATTTGAATGGCGTTACTACCGCGTCATGCATGCCTGAGTGACTTTTAAACAGTCAGCACGAAGAAATCGCACATCTTCGCGAGCGTTAAGCTAAGAAACTGGAGAGTTTTAGGTCTTGAGAAGGACAGGACTGTGAACTGCACCGAATGATCTTCGACAAATATTTCAGTTTAAAACCTCATACAAATGTGGAGCATCCTCCTTAAGCCCCTACAGTGCTCTCCTGGACCCCCGCCCCAATGCACGTAAGCGAAAAAGGAAACACTGGTCAAGGAAATGCGGTAATGTCTAAAATCATTTTTATCACTGTCACATCGGCTCAAAAACGGAGGTGATTCCTCAGCATCAAGACAATTTTAAAACAACCAAATGTTTGTTCTAAGTCCGATTTTGATATCAGGGACGCAAATCAAAGTGGCCGAAATCGGAGCAGTGATCAGGATTTGCGGGCAGATTAGGTCAATTTTATTGGGTCAGCCTCCCGAATCCACTCTAAATAGTTACGCCTCTTCTTCCATCCTTGTTCCGGAGCACCATGTGAAACAAATTACATAAGGAACTTTGAGCTTGCGTACTCGCAGTCTTAGAACCAAGAGCGCCGACGGCTGCGGTTACAGTTTCCGTCCAACTGAGCGGCACTGGCGGCCCGACACCGGGCGGCGGGCGCCTGACGCGCGAGAATAGCCGTCGTGAAATAATGCCTCCGAAAGACTTTCAAAATTAATTCGTACCACCCTAAAATTATGCCGGAGCAAAAACATTTCACATTTAAGATATTGAGGATGGCCTCTGAATAGACTAAAAGGGTCAGTAACACAAGAGGTAATAGTTTATCTTCACTTGTTTAGCTCCACCACCAAATTCGGGCACCGGTTCGCAGTACTGCGAATGCTTATCTCTCCCTATTATAAATACATTAACTGCGTAGGTGGAGCATGCACCCGAACTACGTGCTACACGTACGAACTGACGTCCCATTGCGTTCAAAGGTACCTTTTTTGGAAACGTTGCCGTTTTCATCCGCTCACCGGCCACCGCCTAATACTGACAACGAGACCAACGCCCCACGGCCTACGGAGGCTGCTGCGCCGGACATCGGGCTTTTTGATCTAAGGCTTGAGAGCTCGCCTGGTCAAAGCTTTGTCATGTAATGTCATGCAATGTTAACGCGATGAGTAAACTGGATGCATTGATACCAGCTCACAGTGTGCCTTCACCAGTAACCTTGTGGAGTGGTTTTTACCATGGCCTCCGCTGGATGTTTTGCTCTCCAGGCGAGAATGACTGGCTTCTAAAGCCCTCCTATGTGGACAACACGCAGCAGACGGATTTGTATTCAGATCGTGCGATATGTTTTAGGGCTCGCTGGTGAGCTTGCGTGGCATCACAAGTGGTACTTGTAGGTAATAGAGCAACATGATAGGGGGACGGACACAATCTGCTCGCGGTCGGCGTCAGCAGCTGAGTGAAATCCTGCTCCGCGAACAATGAAAGACCACTGCCGTTTGGTTGGGCGCCATGGAACACAGTTCAAGCTGACACGGTCAGCCCAAACCTGAACACATTTTGTCACGAACACCTCCAGTTCATCTAGGTCATCAGGGCTTTCAGGGTTGCCAGGGTTATCAAGATTTGACCATAAGCGGACTGAAATGTTAACTGATAAGCCTACAAACCGCTTGCTAGTGTTCGTTCCTTTCTTACAGATTTTATCGTGAGAACCTCAGGACCGACAACTGATACTGTGATAACTACGACGCGATTCGCTCCATGTCATTCTAGAGATCTGGATCTTGTCACAGCCGACACTCCGGGGGCTCGCGGCAGGCGAAGTCCACGTCTAGAGGTCACGACCTCGTCACAGCCGACACTCCAGGGACCCGCGACAAGCGACGTCAGCGTCTAGAGGTCACGACCTCGTCACAGCCGAGACTCCAGGGATCCGTGGCAGGCGAAGTCCGCGTCTAGAGGTCACGACCTCGTCATAACCGACACTCCGTGGACCCGCGGCAGGCGAAGTCCGGGTCTAGAGGTCACGACCTCGTCACAGCCGACACTCCAGGGGCCCGCGACAGGCGACGTCCAGCCGAAGTGACTGCGCGTTCCACGCGCGGTCCGAACGCAGCTGTCCTACTTTGCGATCTGCTAAGGACACCCTTAAGCGCAGTCTTTGACTCGGATGCCACAAATGACAAATGGGCCGCGTGGTGCCGGTGTGGTCACCCTGTGTCGGTCGTCACATGCCGCTGACCAAAATCAGGACGGGACAACGTCCGTGCCCGTGGATGGACGACGAACGAATCAGGGTCACGATGCGCGAGCGAGGCGAAACACGTGCTGTGCGTCACAGGAGCCCGTGTAGCGACACACGTGCAAGGTATCATGCTTGTCGCAATGCGACGAAGGGTGCCCAGCACCACCTCCATGCATGCTTCTTCAAGACTTCTGCTACTCCAGGGAAATAGCATGAGAAGATACCCGCACTTCATGGTCCTGTCCCACAAGCCCAACCCGGCATGGTTTCCAACTGGGCGGGTGGCCGAACTGCTGATCGCCTCAACGCGCACTGTTGCTGCGGGTCCAAGGGCTGCGGTTGCCGTCGCCGAAAGGCACGCGGACGTACCACCGCTGAGGCCGCGCCCGCCTGTGGTGCGGAGCGCTGCCTACCGAATAAAACCGGCAATACCCCCAGGCCTGAGCCGATCGCTCGGAGGCACGAATGTGTCTGAGACATGTGGCGATTATCGCACTGCTTAATCTGCCGATGTCGCGACTCACGTGTTCAGCCGTTGGACCTCACTTGTGACGTGTTGCTAATACTGTCATCGTGTCTGGCATTGTAACATCCAACTGGACGGCACCACATGAGTCTGGTCACTGGTCCAGTTACACCACTGCATGAGTCCGATATTAAAAAGCGATCCACACGAGTATAGACCGATCATTATCCTGCCAACCATCGCAAAATTGACTGAACGAGTAGCGTGCGACTCACTGGCGGCCTGTTTGTTCAGCCGATCCATGCTTTTTGGTTAACAGCACGGGCTCCGGCCCCAGAGACGGTGATGTTCGACGCGGTGAAGCATCTTTCAGAAACCCTTGGCAACGTTCAAATTGCCTCATTAGCGGTGATCGACACATTTAAATCCTTTGACAGTGTCGAGCGTGACTGGCTTCTGCAGAAACTGAGTGGTATGGCGTTGACTCTCGTTGGTCCCGAAACTGGCTTTGTGATCGTCGGCATCAAGCGCGCGGTGGAAATGACGTGTTGCCATGAAGTCACGGGGTCATCCAGAACTCGATTACAGGGATAATTTTATTTTCAATATTTTTAAAAGGCTTTCCGTCTGACATTACCATCTGCATATTTATGTAATGGCGATGACTATGTACGGTACAGATGGAGAGGACGATGTACGGTACAGATGGAGAGGACGATGTACGGTACAGATGGAGAGGACGATGTACGGTACAGATGGAGAGGACGATGTACGGTACAGATGGAGAGGACGATGTACGGTACAGATGGAGAGGACGATGTACAGTACAGATGGAGAGGACGATGTACGGTACAGATGGGCAGGACGATGTACGGTACAAATGGACAGGACGATGTACAGTACAGATGGGCGGGACGATGTAAGGTATATCGATAAGATGTACAGTACAGATGGGCAGGACGATGTACGGTATGTCGACACGCGTCACGCGAACGCTTCAGTTGGTCCTAAATATCTCACAAAGGAAACTTTGGCGGTACTTCGCTTCTATCCCGCGCAGAAATAATCTGAAGATAAATCTGAAAACCCCTTATCATATCCTAGCACGATCATGTAAGCGTCCCTATGCCTTCCAGTGCGTTTAAGTCCTTGGTATGCTGTTGACGGAAACCTGACTTGGGACTATGGATGCAGACGTCAAAAAGTGTTTGGTGACTGCTCGTGAAAATTGCTGTCAAATTGGTAAAGGGTACCGGCACTTAAAAGCGCATGATCCGGTTTGCCAATAAATACGTTAATCGTCCTTATCAGAGAGCAATGTTGCCCCAGCCCAATAAAAGTGTTATTACACGCACTGCCCCATGAATCTACGCTGCCGACGGAAATTGCTGCTGCCCTGCACCATGAGTCTGAACTGCTGGCGGAGATTGCTGCTGCCCTGTCTCATGGATCTGAACTGCTGGCGGAGATTGCTGCTGCCCTGCACCATGGGTCTGAGCTGCTGGCGGAGATTGCTGCTGCACGGCCTCATGGGTCTGAGCTGCTGACGGAAATAGCTGCTGCCCTGCCTCATGAATCTAAGCTGCCGACGGAGATTGCTACTGCACTGCACCATGGGTCTGAGCTGCTCGCGGGGATCCTTTCCAGGAAAGTCTCTGGCCGGCGGTTAGTCTTACGCACCAACTCTGAACAGCCTGGTGTAGCATTAATCCACCCTCTGGACAGCATGTGATTTGGCCTCAGTAGGTAGAACGTCCGAACGTGGCCCTCTGAGACTTTTCCCGGGCTGAAATGTTCAGAAGAGAGCAAGTGTCTAGCCCATGCGGACTGAGGATCACTATAAAACGTTGTGGTGATAGCGATCCGCTCTCTGTCAGTGGATGTGAGGTACGCGCGCCTGGCGCGTAGACAAACGCCCGCGTGGAACCGATGCGATTGTTCGCAATACCATGGTCGTCATTTACTGTGTGTTTGGGGTTTGGCATCCAGTGCTGTTGGTTGCCATGACTCACTTGACATGTGTCTTGCTGAAGATAACGAAGAGACGATCTTGCTGAGCAAGTTGAGTGGCGTGGATGACGATAAACGGAGAGAGAGAGAGAGAGAGAGGAGAGAGAGAGGAGAGAGAGAGAAGGAGAGGAGAGGGAGAGAGAGAGAGAGAGAGAGAGAGAGAGAGGGGGGGAGAGAGAGAGGGACAGAGAGGGGGGGTGTTATATGTATACATATATATATATATATAATATATATATATATATATATATATATATAGTATATATATATATATATATTGCTCTACGTGCCGATCCACGCCCAATAAGTTTTGTTCATCATTTGTAAACATTCATTTTATTCACAGCACCATTCCCGGTCAATGAGATGCTTGCATGGATGATAGCATTTTGTCCGGAAAAATGTTTAATGGTTTGATCGTTGGAAAATCCTCAAAGAGACATCTTGTTTGCTGTCACTTTAAACACGTAAAGCCCCCCCCCCCCCAAAAAAAAAAAAAACCGAAACGCCACTTGTCCTCAGAGGCGGAAACGCGACTTCCGTTACATCATCGCTTCGCCCGTGGCTTTATCGCCGCACGATCTCGACGCCCCCGAGCCATAGCCGGCGCCGGCACGACAATATCGGCGTCAGTGAGACAAGCGGCGCGCAGCCAGACGGCGGCAGGCACCGCCCAGTCATCACCTCGACACGGCAGCGACAAAGGGCGCGTGGCGCCACCTACCCCCCCTTGTTTGTCTGCACCGCCGCAGACCGGGCGGCACAAAACCCACCTACCGGCTGGAGACCCCCCTCGCCGTCCCCCGTCCTCCCCCCCCCCCCCCGCCACGGCCCTCACTGTCGGACTAACGCGACCCGCGGCGGCGGCGAAAGGGAATCATCGCCCACGGTTAATTGCCCCTCAAAGGGTGCAGGTATCCCAGGTATGAGGCTGGCCGGCCGCTTTGATGTCGCCGCTAATAAACCGACAGATGGCCGACGTCGACCGCACACGTGCGCCAGAGGCCTGCGCAGGACGCAAAAGAGGACATTTTCAGTTGATAAAAGTGGAAAACTTGATTGTGCCGGCAGATTGTATCATTGCTCCCCCGTCCTTGCCTACGGCGTAGCCCCAGAACGGCTTCCGAGGCTGCTGGCTGAGGCCTGCGCTCGGGAAGGCGTATCTTCACGGTCGGAGATGCGCTGACCTTGGAATGCTGCTCGCCCATTGGCTGTCGCTGGTTCCTGTGTTGACCCGGGTCATGTCTTCCGTTCAGCGCAGTTTTCGCTTGGCCAGGACAGCGTAGGGACTGGTGGTGACGGCGCGCGCGGTCAGCGGTACCCTATTTATTACTATTTATTTGTATTTATTGACAATTAGGATTTCCGTGCGATGCATGGTATGGAAGACTACCAGGCGTATTCGACAAGGCTGTGCTGGCTCGTGCTCGCCCTGTGCTGTTGTCCTGCGGTGGCCCTGCCGTGGTAGGTGATAGGGCCTTGGCTCGATGATTCGATGTTCTCGAAGCGACATTGCTCATCATGTGTTGTTTTAATGGATTTCTGCCTTCTGTACTGCTTTCTTTACTCACACAGTGGAGGACTTTGACAACCAGGGTTGATTTATTGCATGATTTGGAATGGCCGCGGGGCATGGACACTAACGATGTCACCCTGTCCTGGGATTCCACCGAATGCGGCATTTTATAGCAGCAGAGAATGCGGCTTTACTGTAGTGATTGAGCCTACTCGCCATGTGTTGATGAACTCGGCCGTGCTGACATATATGGATGATATGAACCTGATCTCAGCCTTCCGTCCGTGTTTGTAATACTCTTGTTCCCTCCCTCTCTCCCTCTTGGCTTCGAAACGATGTCTGTGCACGTGAAACTTCAAAATCGTAACGGCGGCAACAGCAGCGCATCGCAATCAGCGATTGCGCTCGACTCATGTTCTGCATCGCAATCGGCCATTGCGCTCGGCTCACGTCCTGCATCGCAATCGGCGATTGCGCTCGGCTCATTGTATACTTCGCAATCGACGATTGTACTCAGCTGGCGTTCTGCATCGTTTCAGGTCTCTTGGGAACGTCCTCATGACGGGAATATCGGTAAGTTCACCTCCATGTTTCTGCTGAGTTATTGTCGCTGATATCTACAAAGACTGTTGTTATTTGAGCTTAAGGGCGCGGGGAATGACATTCGTGTACGACTGAGAGCACTTCCGTAAACCAATTATGTCTGTATATTGTTCCTTGCTATATGAGCCGCTTTGGACATGTTCAGCCCAGGACCTAAAGTCAGCACTCCGATCTGCCACACCTCTCTCCAGTGTCTGTACCACCATACCGTGAGTCAATAGACGCACAGGACTTGTGCTTTTCGCATTGCTTCTTGGTTTATTCAGAGGGCAGAGCTTGCAGCTGACGCAAGTTGGCGAGGTGGTTCAGGTGTTTCTGACATCATCCCAGTCGTTTGCTCTGAGCACAATGAGCTTACATAACAGCTGACGGCCAATGATACCGCAGCATCCAAATTCTCCAATCAAACACAGGATACCGAAAACAGACGACGTGCGACCAAATATCCGGCATCTTAAAGACCAGAAGGTCGTTTCTATGCATTCTTTGTCGGCCAGCGAAAACTGCCAGCCCGTTTGCCTCCATGCGTCGCGTTCCTTGTGGCCTCCGACCTCCACGCCGCGTGTGTGCCTGACCTCTGACCCACATGCACGTGCTCCCAGGCTGGGGTCGAGTTTACGGACAACATGGCGGTTGGGACAGCGGCTGGCGCACACCCACTGCCGCAAACAGTTTCTTCTGGCACCGCTGGAACTGCCCCACCGACGACTTCCTCAGAAGGTGAGGAGAACTGGGTGGTGATGGAGGGAGAGGATGTCGTCCGGGAGGGCGTGGGGAAGGCGTGGGGCCTTGTGTGGCTCCCCTGCGATAGCGACAGCGACTGTCCGAATATCTCACAGGCTTGGGCACCCAATTATCGTCATGCCGCCCATAGTCTTGGAGTGCCGGCTCGCACCGTCCAGCATAGCCTGCCCCTTTCATGCGTCCAATCGGTAACAGCTGAGCCACGGGAAGCTTAGCCAGGGGAGATACATAGCCAGGGGAGATATCTGGCTGGAGAGATACATGGAGCTGGCGGCTGAGCTGAGCTCGTGCCCATGCTTACGTAGTAATGATTGGGTGCTGAAGATACGCAGCGGAATGTAACACCCTTTATTATGGCAGAGGGTGCCAAACTATGAACGCGACACGTAAACAGCATTAGAAGAGTTGTTGTACATCCAGCTTGAACAAATCATTCTGTAATGTAGGCAATCTATATTTTCTGTACACTTTTTGCTTCCTGGTATCGCCTGGGATATTGCAGGGAACTGATTGTCATAATGATTTATGGTGCCATTACAAGCAATAACAACGCCGAAATACTAGTCGCCTGAGGCCTTTACTAATCACATCAGCTTCATCAAGACTAACCATACAGGATTGTTGCCGATGTGTGCGGTTCCATCGGCACGTGACGCTGGGATGGCGTGGTCGTCCTGTCTGCAAAGAAGGGAGCAGGCTTCCCAGACATGGCACATATAGCCTCGTAGCATTCCGGAGTCATCGGGGTTGCATGTCGAGCCATGACCCCACGAAACCTCGTTCAGTCCGATCGAATCACCTAAGCGTGAGCGGCAACCGACTGTCAATACGCCGCCCGCGGCCGGTCGTGATTGGACGCCGTAACGAGCCGCCGGTCGTGATTGGACGCAGTAACGAGGCCAGCCTTACGTCGGATTCTGTCTGAGCTGAGCAGGAGACTGATGGCAGGATTACGACCTACGACATGACGTAACAGCAATATTTCCGTGAAATACTGCGCCTTACCTACGTAGCAGCATCTGTGGCGAGTGTTTTTGTCCTAACACGAATGCTGGTGAGGTACATGTCTGAATGCATGAGTTGCAATCGAGAGGACAACATCGAACACTTGTGGTCCATTGACACCGGGACTGATTCTCAGGCATAGCGAAATACAACTGAATGCTGGTTCGTAACTGGCGTACTGAACGCCGCAGTCCTGACGTTGGCAACAGCAGTGCACCAGTATGCTTTGCAGGGCTAAGATTGAAAGGCTCGCAATGCGAGAGAGATATTTCATTACGTTCGTGAAGAGGGGATATGGGGTTCTATCCATGGACCTCGCAACTAAGCTTTGCTTGGCTCAATGCCTAAGTTGTTTTATTTACGCATGGAGAGGCGGGGGAATGACGGAGTTGCTGCGCAAAGTTTCAGCAATGACATTGACAAATGACATGCCAAATGGCATTTCCCTTGTCCCGGCGCTTTCCCAACCAGACAGACAGACAGACAGGCGAGAGGAAGAGCAGCCAGCAGTGACCCTGCACGGTCGTGCATAACATGAAAAATGAGGTCATGGGCACAGGATAAGGCGTAAAACTGGTAACAAAGCCCGACGGTCCGAGGTCAGGGTCTCCACATGTGTCTGACTGCGATGAGACGTAACGGAAACATGCTTAAGGGGATGTCAGGGACCAGATGCTATTTCATTTCACGGTGACGCAATAAGTACATTTGGCTCCTCATAACATGCGCAACAAACAGGTCCCTCCGAATCCGCTCATGCCAGGCTCATCCCAGATTGTCACAGGTAAGGCCGATTCAGGTCGCTGATCCAGTGCTTGTTGTGGTCCATTCTGACCCACTTGTTCCCGTTCGTTCCGATCCGTCTCATTTCGCCTCCTTCCTTGTGATCCGTCTGATCTGTGCCTGTCCATTCCATCCGCTCTGCCCCGTTTCCGCTTATTCTGATCCGTTGCGTCTGGACCAGTTTCTGTCCAGTGGATTCAATAGTATGTCCAGAGGAACCTAGCCCTGTCCCTCGTGATATGACCCGCTCTCCGCGACTCCACACTACTCACACCTGCTCCATTCCACTTGCATCCACTCCACTCCCCTACTCTCCACTCCACTCCACTCCACTCCACTCCACTCAACTCTATTGTACTCCACTCTACTCTACTCTACTCTACTCCACACCAAACCGCTTCATTGTACCCCACTCTTCTCCACTCTGGTCCACTCCGCACTCGTCTAACCGGCACCCCGTCCCGCGCAGGAACCACCAGCCGGGCCGAGCCACGCGCGAGGCGGCCGTGGTGGACGCCATGACCGCCGGCGCCATCGCCTACGCGCTGACCCGCACTGCAGCAGCGGCCAGATACCCGGGTGCACATGCCAGGCCAAGACCAGCCGTGGAGGTGAGCGGGCTGCCGGCCGAGGAGGAGGCCACTGCAAGAAGGTTCTCGCTCTGGCGTGTGTTTGGGGGGGGGACCAGGCGCGCTCTCCAGGAAGGGTGGGAGGCATTCGCTCGGGAGGAGGTTGAGGTGGGGGGGGGGGGAGGTGTGCCCTCTGGAGGCGGTCAGGGAATCCTTCCCCGAGCGCAGGAAGAGGAAATATGGGATGACAATATAAAGGATCACTACGGGGGAGGGGGGAGAGGCGGGGGTTGGCATGCGCAGGTGAGCGGTCTCGGAGGGCGGAGGTGAGTGATATGAGAGGCTCAGAGACAGAGCTGGGGGCACACGCTAATCTCCCTTAGATATTGACAACTTACTCTCATGGGGGTAGAGCTTAGGGTGTGTGGAGGGGCTCTCCTTAAGCTACGTTAAATATGGGGAAGGGGGAGGAGGAGGACGATGAAACATGATGGAGGTGCCACACGGGAGGGGAATAGGGCATAATGGAGGTGCCACGCGGGAGCTAGAGGTTTTGGACAGTGCAACATTACGCTTAGGTGTGTCGGAAAGTCTGGTTGGGTGTAAGAACATGTTAAGGCATCACATTATAATGATGTTGGCGTCTCCTCCGTACAAGGAATGCCATATTGTTAATTTTGCATCTCTAGCACATTTAGGGGGCCAAACGGACGTAACTTTATGGGACGTTACGCTTAATATAGCAAACAAAAAAAACGGACAAGTAAAGGCTGTCCCTAGTGGAAGTGGGGGGGGGGGGGGGCATCCAGATACCAATTGATCATGGAATCAGAGGTAGTGGTCGGTAAACCGGAATGTCACGCTTGCTGCGCATCGCAAAATAATATATTTGGCACTGAAGCAGGTAGATATGTATATAAGTGTATGTGCGTGCACATGTAAATGTACGTCAACCCCGTGCGTACGCATGTGCCAAATGTGTGTACCCCACTGTAGAGCTGGACACCATATCTATATTACGTCTACATTGTGCATGAATGTTACGTTCTGGACCTTCCGCGCATATGTGTCCGTACTTGTGCCTGCATCTGCGAGTGCGGATGCGTTCTTTATGTGCGGGTGCGACTGTTGGGTCTGTACCCGCGCCTGTAGGACAGCCGGAGGGGGCGACAGGCGGTGGCCGTGTTCGTGTCCGTGGATGTTTATCTATCTGTGCCTGCAACTGCATGACAGGCGCCGACCAACACCCTGTGCCAGGCGTGTCTGTGCCTGTAGCTGTGTCCTCTTCTGTACCTGTGTCTGTCTTTGTGCATCTGCACGTGTATCTACATCTGAATCGCAGGCGCTGACTGGCACTGGGGCGGCTGCAGCGACAACATCGACTTCGGCGTGCGCATGTCGCAGCAGTTTCTGGACCACGTGCCGCTGGACATACCGCTGAGGCAGGCTGTCGTCAGACTGCACAACAACCAGGCCGGCAGACAGGTGGGCAGAGCGCCGACACCCCCTCCCCACCCCCCTCCCGCCCCAAATCCAAGCTCGATCCAGGTCGGCAGACAGGTGGGCAGAGCGCCGACCCCCCCCCCCCCCCCACCCCACCTACCGTCCCAAACCCGGGCTCGAATCTCGGCTAGGGGCTGAACAGAGCTGTCGGCACGGTCGTGGGGGGGGGGGGGGGGGGGTCGGCGTGCGTCCTGCGTGAACAGGAAATGAGAACAGATGTAGAGTTTCCTTAAAGCGACTGGAAAATGAGCGATGAGAATAGATGAGTTTGAGATGAGAACAAAGTTAGAATTGCTTTACAGCGGCTGGAAAATGGGAACGAATGCACAGCTCAGTTTTGGGTGAGTTTCGCAAGCTATGAAATGAAAACAGATGGGAATTGTTAGAAGGTTGAGGATGGCATATCGGAGTAATATATATATATATATATATATATATATATATATATATATATACGCGCCACTGTAAACAGATGGCAACCTCTACGATAAAGACTTCTTCTACGAAGAAGTTATTAGACCTCGTTTATGGGTCCAGAGGCCGTGTTCCATTCCCGCCTGAAGAGGGTTCTTGCTGGTCGTGATCTTACTGAGGTCGGTCACACAGTGTGAACGAGTGTGCACTGTGAACCGTCGAAATGTCAACGTGTGCACAACACGGGAAGGGGAGGAAGAGAGGGAGAGACAGAGACACGGGGGGGACGGGGAGGCAGGGAGACAAGGAGGGAGAGAGGAATAAAGGTGAGCGTATGCGATAGCAACATATCTGCAGATAATGGGCTTTTTAGCTGATACGGTGCCTCAAATCAGAAACTATTGAACACAAAATCTGAATATATTTGCTTAAAGTCGGGCATATTACATGTGGATGTCTTTCATACTGATGAACGATACTGTACTCTATTTGCCGGAGGCTTGCCGTGTGGTAACAGCAGCGTGCCGCGTATGCCTATCTATCGATTGGTAGCCAGATATGTTCCGGACGTGGACGGCCACCAGCGCTTTGCCTTTGTGAGTACACTTGGCCAGCATCGTAACATTATTTATCAGTGCAGGTCGTGTGAGGTCGGGGGCGGGTATCATGTGTTGCATCGGTGCATCATACCGGCACTGTCGATGCACGACAAGGCTCAGCGACGCCCCAGTCACCGACACAACCATTTGCCACAACGGAAGTCGCCGTCAGTGGGTAGGCACCTCCTCGTAGGTCGTTTCTCATAATAAGGGGAGATGTTGTGACATTTTTGTTAGCAAATTGCGAGATTCATATCGTGGTTGTCGACGTTGAATCCTATCAGGTACTGTTTCTTGCTTTTATATGACGAACAGCCTTCTCCTCGGCCTCATAGGCCGTTAACCCCCCCCCCCCCCAGCCAGATGGCATAGTTGTACGTGGGTTTCACGCTGTCCTGGCTGATGAGTGGAAGTGCTCATGAAGCACTCCGATCTCGTTGTCCATAGCAGTTATTAGACTGCTGTTATTTAAGAGTAATAAGGCCGCAGTATCTAGCAGTTATTAGACTGTAGTTTATTAGCAGTTACGGGCACCTCAGTTTATTTTGACATTGCTGTGTCTGATTCTAGCACGTCTCTGATGTACGAGCGGCCATGTCGCGCCATGTTTGCCGGTTCTGTGTACGTCTGAGCGGATCACGCGTTCTTTGTACATAACTGGACTGTCGCATTAGCCGCTCAGGCGTCGGCGGCCGTCTGGTTTTCTGGACACTGAGGTTGTAAGGTGACCGCCAGAGGCATCGAATTTTAAGGGAGGCCACTCCAGAATTTAAATGCTTTGGTTGGTGAGTGGCTCTATCGTAAACTTAAGAAGTAAGCTTTCCCAGATTTGGTCGTGGACAAACAGGCTACATTGGGCCTGCAAATGCTACCAAAAGGGTACGACGCCCTTTGAAGTAAGATCAATCACGCTGTGTTTGGAAGCAGGTGAGAGGGGGGGGGGGGCAAAAGGGTTTGCATTCCGAAACGCATGTTTAGTTATGCAGCCTATATTCATATCAATGCGATTGCTAGGATCAGATCTCTCAAAACTTACACATGTTAAATAGCGTGCTATTTCGCACTAACTCATGTCTGACACAATACTCAGCAACATAGGCTGTGAAATACCTCCACCGCCGAAGGCGCATGTTATATTTCGACGGCATGTGGTGAGAATATTGGTCGCCTTGTCAAACGGTGCATGAACAGCGTAATTAGGTGGGCAGTGACAGTCATCTCTGGCTGCTCCTCAGCTTCACATGTTCAGGTTAATGTAACAGATGAATATGCTAATGGCCATGACAGTTAGGTGCGTCGTGACGCGTCGTGAAAAGCCGTTCAAGGTAATCCATCACTCGTTGAACGACGCAATTTGTAAATCCACCAGGCTGCTCTCACTGACTGCGTAACGGCCGGATTCCTCTTAGCTTCTAACGGACGTAGTAAGTTTACGACCCAGTTCAATCATGGTAATTTCGAAACATGATACGCTCAAGCCTGAAAGCTTTTATGCGCTAGCTCGCGCTTAGCTTATTGAGGGGACTTTCACGCGTAGTGGCGTCAAAACGGAGAACATTCTCACTGCGTTGATTAAATGAAGCCTGCCATGCCCTGGCTGGATTCACACAGCGATAGATTGAAGCAAAGAGTGGATAGGTTGGAATTTTATGCAATCTCCGTCACGACACCTCGAAAACTCATACCTGACCTCCTCTTGGATGAATCGGTTGCATATAATTGGCTCAGCCGCAATATGGCGTGTAGGGGAATTAAATCGGGGCACATGTGATGAAGTAATCTTGCACGCATGGGAAGCGAACCCGGACTTCCACGACTTCTTCCAGGATGTACGTAGAATACCAACGACGCTTAAAATGTCAGTGATGAAGTGCTAGTCAGAGGGTCTCTTTCACCAGTGGGGGGCCCCTAGGATAGCGAGGGCCTCTGCCAATCAGCTGGCTGAGCCCACCAATGCCGAACAGTCGGCCTCGTGCTGGTCTGGGCCCTAGGGCCCATTTCCCAAGCAGGAGCAACGCCGGGGCCTTCAAGGGTCATGCAGAAGGCCTCTCGCAATGTTCAGGGCCCCTGAAACAGCGATTGGCTCCTTGTGTTGGTCAGGGTTTACAGTGCCTAACACGGGATCCTGTGTCGGCAATTGGGCCCAAGTCGGGCAGTGACGCCTTTGCTGAAAATTGACAAGCACGGGAGCCAGAACGTCAAAGGGCGTCTTGACAACGACAATGAAGGGATACATGAGAAATAACGACGCAAGAGCTCACATTCATAATGCGACGGTGGAAAGGCCCTGTGCCAGTCAGAAGCTGCAGTGCCAAAGGAGGGACCGTCTGAACTGCTTCAACCGGGAGCCGATAGGCCGAACTGGTGTCTCAGAGTCAATTATTATACTCCATGCTCCGGTCAGAGACCCTGCAGCATCAGGAAGAGGACCGATGCGGTGCGTGACGTAACCCTCTGAAGACCTCCGGATCGATATGGGGCCCGGCCCTCGTATCGTTAGATCGAAGTCTATAGTGACCTTGTGGTAGGACGGAAGGGCCCTTCAGTTCCTGACCAGGAAATTTTACGAGTGCAATGTTCGAGGTCGATCCTTTGAACGGAATGAACAATTAGAGCAACAGGAGCGATAGAGATACTCTACTCTATTATGACTTCATGATGCTGCACGTGCTAATCCTTCCCGAGTAGCAATCCAAAGATTGCATAGCTGCATCGCAGTGCATCACACCTGATGACCAACATTATTGTCACAAGACCAGGCAGTTCAGCCAGCTGAGGCTTCCACTCACCAGACCAAGCATTGGTAGACCCCCAACTCACGCACAGCGCAGTGAAGTCTTATAATACGCCGTACCGGAGCATGTGTGGGGATGAGCGCACGTTTTAGGCAGCTCTCGCGGTCTATTCCCGTCCTGATTCCGGCAGCGCTCGACTGTTCTGATCCTGCACCCTGTCACCCGTCTAATCATCTTAGCGTGGGTCTGGTGGGACGGTAAGTGCAGCCACACGTCTGGTGCAGGTCTAGCGTGGCGATTCGAATGACATGCAAATCCGCGGCAGTGTACTTGTTTGCGTGTGTGACATCAGCTTAGTTTCACAAATTTGAAATGCATGGATGACAACCAGTTGATTGCAAATTCCGAGTGAATTATATAACCATAGCTTAGGCGCTTACCATGCATATATGCGGCAACTATAAAAATCATGGTCCAATTAAAAAGTCCCCCTGATCTACCTCCCCTGAGCACGCCCTTGCACGCTAGACGTACGGTGCGCATGCGCTGTGCCCTGCTTACTCTGACCCGCTGGATTTGGCCGTCAGCTGGTGCGCCGCTCGGCCCGGAGGCTGTGCAAATGTCACGGGGTCAGCGGCTCGTGCACCATGGAGACCTGCTGGACGCAGATCGCCGACTTCACGCTGACGGCCGAGCGCATCCGACGTCGCTACCGCAAAGCCAAACGGTGGGTTCGAAACCTGGCAGAGGCAACTTCATCCCTCGTTTCGAATACCGTCATCAGTCGATGGTTTTCGCGAGGCTGAAGCATGAGCGGGGGGGGGGGGGGGGTTGTTCGCTTACTATTTCGAGGGCGGGATATTCTTGAGTGTGGCACTTTGCTAAACTTGCTTGTGCAGCGTAGTTTGGGTTCATGCATTAAATGGGACAAATGCAGTGTCAAACAGAAAAAGCTGACATGACATCGTCATCTCTATTTCCCGCAGGCTGCACAACAGCGCGCAATCTATGCGCGTTACGTTTAGGATATCAAATACGCCTTGGGATTATTTCCCGTTGATTTTTCATTCGAGAGCAGTGTTCTGACGCATACCATATTAAGGGGGAGGGGTGGGGGTGGTCAATAAGCTCCTTTTCCCCGCTGGTGTCCGGACTAGAGACGCAACTTTTAACCCGTTAGCCCACCTCATCTGACCCGCAAACAGCCTTGGGCTTTTGGCCGGGTTGTGGGCCAGACTTGGTGGATTTTTGCGGGTCAAAGTTTTAGCGAAGCAAAATAATGCATTTTTTTGCTATTGTCTAAATTGAAGACCATGAAAAATAAATTATGCCGCCAAACGCTATGCAATTATGCAAAGTCATGTTTTGATTTTTATAGCAAGACATCCAGTGGCAGAAAACTCATGGCAAACATGCTGCACTAATAAACTAAACTGCCCGAATTGAACAACTTAAGTTGACATATAACCTGAAAAAACTGAAGAAAACAAAACCAATTTGCAAAGTATTGCCAGCTTCTATTAAGCAGGAGTAAGACGGGCAATCGGCATAAACCCAACTTTATTCTGTACTTGGCTGTGGTGATGATAGTGAGGTGTGTACTTAACCTTTTTCGATTCTTTCACAAACCATGCCCCATGGTCAATATCAATTATTAACGAAGCTGGTAAACTGTATGCCTTTCATTCCCCTAGCCTAGCATGCTTGTTTAGTACAGCCCGCAGTTACTGGTGTCACACACAGAAATAACTGTCTAGATTGAAGTAGGAGCAACGTAGAGATTGCATGGCGCATCAGTGATTTGGGACATTATGCATGCTGTATGACATTTTTCTGTAATGGCACCAGTATCAGATGCATTCTTCTATCAGATCCATTAGATACCTACACCGTCTGCCACCCCTAAAAAAGTTAGTCATTCAGTGCCTCATTTTGATATTGGTGCAGCAACAAAAAGATTGCATTAATATTATCGCAAGATACAATGCAAAGGCTCTGTCAGACTGGAAGAGGTGAGTGAAGTGTGGGGAAGGTACACCAACACAAGTCGCATTTTAATGGACACCAAGCTTATCTTTATGGACTTTCCATCTGAAGTGTAAATGCAACTGTGACGAAAGGTCTGAAAATATGGTGTTTCTTTTTTGTTGGTTGCTTAACGACGCAATGAAGGGAACATCATTACATAGACATCATGGCGGTGTGTGCACGAACGCAGGAGGGATGAACAAATGAACTGAACACGTTGCTTGTTGTGGCATGTAGCCGGCAGAGCCATGCAGTTTTGATACGTCTCCGGAGCGCCAGAACTGTATAAAATGTCACATTAAGTTACATTTTTAGATTTTTGAGGATGCTGTTCTACAGACTTATTATGTCAGATCACAGTAATTAGGTGTTAACGAAATATTATTGTAGCTGCGTAATTGCTGCAATCGGTCATTGAAGTTAGGATGTAAGATTGCTAGGCCGGTGCCAGTTTGAAACCTGGTATCTTTTGGTGTAAATCTTCCTTCCCAACCTGTTGCTAAAGGGTCTTGCTCATTCAGAAAATGATATCAATATTTGCGATTCACTTTAGTACAACACAATCTCATGTCTCAAATACTTTGATCAATGCTGGACGAGGAGCATCACTGGCATCAGCCATAAAATGTCGAACTTTATATGATACGGGTATGAGACATTTCATGCATATTTTATGTATATATATAAAATAGAGGAGGAGTGATGAAATACAGCTTGAAATTAACTCTTCTTGCGGATCTAACTGATCTTGCTGGTTGATACCGGGTCAGCATCATAGCACAACCGGGCCAGTATTGTAGCACCATTCTGTGCTGGATTCCCAGCTGGCCGGGGCAAGCTGGGCGGAATTTTTTAGAAAAGTTACATCTCCTATCCGGACATGATCTGGAACGTCGCGCAAGAAATGCGACGGCAACACGTTATTTTTGGAGATGCGTGTGTCCGTCTGCAGCTCGCCAACACAGGCTCATGATTTCCGTGGTGCCCGGTACGCTAGTTGGTGCTGTTCTTTGTCTAGTCATTAACCTAAATTGTCTTTTTGGTGGTCCCTGGAAACCCGAGGCGACTTGTTGTCTAGTTCGACGTAGCCTTCACATCATACACTATCCCATACAACCAGATAACGAAGCCATCCAGCTTCGGTCCGACAAGTAAAGGCAACAGCGCGCACAGGAAATGATATGCGACCAAAAAACTTGATTGATATGATGTTACGGGGAAGTTCATCGATCGTGGCGGTCTATACCGGTATCACGCCGAGCAGGAGGCGGTCTGAGAGGGGAGAGGCCGTCTTGGCTTTGGCGAGAGGCCGTATTGGCTTTGGCGAGAGGCCGCATTGGCTTTGGCGAGAGGCCGTGTCGGCTTTGGCGAGAGGCCGTGTCGGCTTTCGTGAGAGGTGTCGTCGGCGTCTGACTCGGTGTTGGCAGCAAACTAGATCAGTGCCGTCCAGCGCCAGTGATTGTCCGGCAATGTCAATGGAACTCGCTGACAATATTATTAGAAGAAGTATCTAGTACCAGTTGGTCATAATCACTAGAAGACATTAACACTGTGAGCAGCTGCCGAGATGCCGCCAGACACTGATCTGCCAGGGCCACATCCAGCCGGTGTCATTACCGGTGGCAGCCAGGGCCAGTGACCTCCCAAGGAACCGTCCCTGGGTGCGCCTCTGGCGGGGGCCACGGTCATTTGCTGCATACATTCGGTTCTCAGTGTAACAGCGGGCGGGAGAAGGCGCCAGAGACCCCGACGGGCGAGAGAAGGGACCAGAGGCCCCGACGGGTGGGAAAAGGTGCCAGAGACCCCCGACGGGCGGGAGAAGGTGCCAGAAACCCCCGACGGGCGGGAGAAGGTGCCAGAGACCCCCGACGGGCGGGAGAAGGTGCCAGAGACCCCGACGGGCGGGAGAAGGTGCCAGAGACCCCGACGGGCGGGAGAAGGTGCCAGAGACCCCACCATGGCGACGTTCAGACTCTGGGCATCCCTCCCCGCAAAACTACGTGAGACAGCATCCCGGCATCTCGGCATCCTGACATCCCTCCCCCAGCATCACGTGGAACGGGCGCCCCCCACCGCCAAGGCGACAGCAGGCTGCAGCAAGCTACCGTTTCATCTGTTCATCAGTTCATCAGTTCAAGTTCAACGGCCGTTGTTCTTCCCCTGGAGACGCAAGCCATTGCCATCTGCTTGTCCCCTACATAATGTGAGGCGCACATCTTGGGGCATACACGATTGCGCTTATCACTATCGACACAATAGCACCCCCGTAAAAGGCTTTACTTGACGGTCGTCTCCGCCGGCAGGCTGGCGACGGGCGCCGACGGCAACGTGGTCTCGCCGGAGAGCGCGGTCAGCCTGGAGGGTGTCTCGCCGCTGGATCTCGTGTACCTGGACGACTCGCCGGACTTTTGTCGCGCAGACGCTGCTGCAGGTACGGCACTGCTCCGCTTAGCCACACGACGGGTGGCCTGCAGCCCACGGTCTGCAATCTGGAGTCGGAGGAGAACAGGGTATAGGGTGAATTCGGGTGAAGAGGAAGGAGTTTGTAGTTTTCAGACAGAGTTTAAAGGTGAGAGCTGCAGACAGAACTTGCGGCTAAGATCTCCAGATAAATGTTCCAGAGACTGGAGTCCCAATGCTTGATTATAAAGCCTGAATTGGAGCCTAGACTTTGAGGCAAGATCCACGTCCAGTGTTTTCGTTAAACGTGTTAGCTTTCTATCTTCTTTGGTAATGCATGTGCTGCCTGGCAGAGCCATGTGGCACACGATCGCCGGCAGCACTGCATTGACGCGCGGCATGACCCGTACCATCCGAACTCGCCGCCGGCTCCGAGATAAAGCCAAGTGATAACAAATTCCTCTGCGGTGCCGGTGGCGTAGTGGTTGCGCTGCGCGTCCATGAAACCAGAGGCACAAGGTTTGATTCCCGGCGGTGTCCGTCCGCCCTGTCAGGGTCAGAGGCATGCGACGCCACAGGCCCTCACCAGCAGTGGTTGAGCCCCATTGACAACCGCTGCCTCACGCGCCGCCCCGTCACTGACCGGTGTTCTTGCTTGACAGGTATTGCCGGCACCGCCGGCCGCCAGTGCTCCCGCAGCCGGGGGCCCGGTGTGCGTCGCGTTGAGTCGCGCAGCTGTAAAACGCTCTGCCGCCAGTGCGGCCGCCGTGTGCGTCGCCAGGCGACCCAAGTGGAGACCTCGTGCAACTGCCGGTTTCACTGGTGCTGCCATGTGACGTGCGACACGTGCGTGGAGCGGACGTACAAGTACTCGTGCCGCTAGTGCCGGCGGCCGCCGAGAGATGGCAGCAGCAGCAGGGACTCTAGTCGCGGATAGATGGCGGTAGTGAGATGCGGTTGTCGTGGCAACGAAGATAGCGGTTTGCGGATACAGTGACGTGATGGTGTGGCGTGCGGTGCGCGTGGAGCCGCGGTCCTATTATAATGCACGCCCTGAATGTCGATGGAATGTCATTAAGCACCATCAGTCGGGAACTCTGACGGGTGTGGGTGTGACGGGTGTGACATGCTCCAGCGAACCACGCAAGACGCCGCGGAAGCATGACGAGCGCGCAGTGTTTTTCGCATGCGTCCACTTTGACATGGCGTCCAAGTGATCTTCGTGCTTTGACCAATGGCGACGCACTCAGAAACATGGCTGGCAGTGTGACTTCGAGGAAGCTTTAAGCCAGCAGGCGCGGTTCTGGACCCGTTTTATTCTGCCATGTTCCCAGTGTATGGACGTCCTGGTCGCGACGTTCCTCGGTGATGTCCTGTGTTGTCCCGGCTATTTGTTTGCTCTGTATTTATTGACTTGGTTTTATTTATTTATTTCCACAAGTATCTCCTTCCCCTGCGTGCCCCGGCCCGCCTGGTCGAGCGTTTGTTGGCCCACCTCTGGAGTGGTGCGAGCCTGGGTATACCGAACTTGTGCAGGCGCTGTGTGTTTTAAAGGGTGATAGCGACATCTGAACTGACGTCATAGAATGACAGTATCTGGTGAACTGGTCCCGACAGCCGGGATCGGCCACGGCTTATACGCCGACTGGGCTCCGATGACACGCGACCAGATCCCGATCAGCTAGAGACACGCCAAGTCGTAGTTCTGCGTTTGTGGGAAGGCATGTCGAGTGTGGCTTGTAATATACAGATCGCTGCTCATGACCTGACCTGCTGTCGTCCCGCGGTAACTGACCGCATCTGGCTGTGGCCGCCCATGTCGCGACGCGTCCAGCAGTGAGGTGTAACACTTGGGACCAGGGGGCGGGGGGGGGGGGCGAAGGAGAGCTCAGCACAGCTGACCCAATTGCTGAAGGTGGCATTCATCGAGTGGACCTGCTAACATATCAGATGATGTGGTGCGTCACGCTCCAGAACCGGAATTCTTGAAACATTGCTCGTGGGAGAGATATGTAGCTCCCATGGCTTTTCATGCAGCCTGCCGTAGCAGTTACTCGGTCATTCTTGAAGGCGATCGATACATTTCTAATCTGTGATGCTCACGGGCGTCCACAGTTGCACTCAGCAGTGCACCGCCGCGGTGCAGAAATGCACCGTGACGTGATCATGCACCGCCTCGTCTACTCCATCATGCCATCACGTCATTTTTCCATCACATCATGCCAATCACGCCACCACATCACGTCATGTTTCTATAGTTGCCACCACACCATTGAAGGGAGTTTTCAACATTTGTGTGCAGTTTTGGACTGAAATAGCCCTTTTGAAGATCAATCTGTCCAGTTCACAGCCCCGCCCTTATTAAGACCTAAAGCCCTCTGGCTTCTGAGCCGCACGCCCGCGAAGACATGCGAAGACATGCGAAGACATCTTTCGTGACATTATTTTAAGGCCAATCAGGCATCCACGACATCATCGTCAAAGGAAAATAGAATTGTCGAGTTGTTCATCTTTGGCGTTCGTGGACGCGATTTTGCAGATATAACGGCCATTCCCTTTAATCCGACGCCAAATAAAAATTTTGCCAGTCACGCCCACGTGGGAGGGCGGGGGGGGGGGGGGTAAGAAGGGTATTTCACCTTCGGGACACATTTCAAAAAGGTACTCAAGGAAATTTCTGGACTAGTAACGTCCGGTGATGGCACTGGGTAGTGCCGTTGCAGCACCGTCAAGACATAATAAGGACATCAATTTTTAGCATTTTCGAATAAAAATATCCCGTCAATGTCTTGTAACAGCAGAGCTCTTTCATGCAGTTGCCACCACCGTCTTCATGATAACCACCGCGCGTACCTCCACTGGCGCGATTAAATTAACGTTTGTAATTGGCCCAGCAGCCAGGGCTTGCCACCAAGAAGTTGGTTGCTCGAAGTTTGAACCAGTGCATCACATGAATCATGCAATACTCCCATTCCCAAAGTCAAAGTGCTCCCCGAGAAGAGCTGCTGTGGCAAATGTCATAGGTCAGAGATCCGAAAGCCTTGGTGTAACGTTTCGTTGAATTCGGGGATACAAACTTCATGTTCGCATACATTTTTGTCAAAACAGAGTGTTCCAAGATTTCGTGGCATTTATTTCGCCAACATGTTGACATATTAGTGTGTCTCATGCATTACACAAATCAAACTTTGGAAAAGCAAAGCAAATGAGATGTATCACGTTCATAGTGGTGAACAGGGAGTCAAATGAGGTTTCCTCCGCAAGGCTGGCTACTCCCAATCGAAATTCTGGGCTATTCAGAAGGATTTCGGGAAACTGGCATGCTGATCAAGTCGTGTGCGTTTGATGTAACAGTAGGTGAAAATTACAGAAAAGATGGGATGCTCCCTTCAATAGTAGCCGCCATCCCTCAGCCGGATATTGCAAGATACCTTCATAGGATGGCAAAAACAATCTGATAGTGTTTAACCAAATTAATGCAAGCTATCCAAATTTTCGAGGAAATTCAGGGTCCTCATTTCAGCTATTTTTGGGCTCGCCATCTGCCGCCGACCGGCAGGGCTAGCGACGGCCGGCCGCGGCCGCGCTGAAGCTCGAGACCGCGCCGAGCATCGCGACACGTCAAGCCTTTGCCGTAAGCTTCTGCCGTTGGCCTGGAATTCTACCTTCAGATGGCGGGATCTGGGCTCACGCAGTAAGCTCCGTTTGGCGTGGGCGTTTATTCCAGAAAAGGAGTGACTCAGGCAGTGGATACCTCCGGCCAGTCACACCAGGGCCGAGGGCAGAACACCGGGCCTCCATGGGCGTAATGCAAGGCCTCTGTGAGCAGCATTCCGAGTCCGAGGCTGGCACACTACGCATAAATAGAATACATATCAGGTCTTTATAGACTACATATTAGGGCTTTATGAATGGTAAACCTGCTGATTTAAAGTAGTTTTTTAGTAGTAGTAGTAGTTTATTACTGATTTAAAGTAGAAGTTTAAAGTAGGAAATAACTAGCTAAACTAAGTAAACTAGGAAATGCCAAGCATTGGTCCTTAAATGGGATGTTCCACCTTTGAAAATATTGAAGCAAGAGTCAGATATGATGAAATTTGCTCACTTAAAGCTTCTGGTATACTTTTAAGTGAAAAACACCGATCTAGAGATTCTATTTCTCTGTTAAGTAAACCTGATTCCCAATACGCTATTGCTTTTATATGTCATTACACGTTGCACGAATTGTCAAGTGACGGCCGTCTCATCTGGAAGTCTTTCTCACGAACGCCAGATATGAACGACTCGACAACTGTATTTGCCCTGGCCTTGCTTGTCGCATGACGAATGAAACCGCAGGATCTGAATGACATAATTATGTCGGCACGGATGCTTTGGTGACCTTGAAATAGTCTCCCTGAAATAGCCTGCACATCCTCGTGAGTGTGTTCAGGTCTAAAGAAGGAAAGGGCTGTGAACTGCACCGAATGATCTTCAATATGGCTTTTTGAGTCCAAAGCCCCCTGGAGCTGTAGAGCAATCCCTTTAATTAGTCATTAATTTGTACAGACCTACCTACCGCAAAATAACGTCACCCACACCCACCACCTACTGACCGTTAACCGAGCCATTGGTGGGTCTGACGATCACCAGTGAATGAAAGGGTGTGCACTAGTGATGCCATTCGGGGACATCTCGGCCGGCCAGTGACTGTTTTTTCGTAAGTTTTTGGACCAACAAATTGTGAATAGTGTGGATTGGAAAGCGGTAAAATATTTAACATCACACAAATCAACAAACAGAAAGCAGCTTTTCAACTACATCCAGATTGGCTTATGACTTGGTACGTTTTTTAGGGACGTGGCAGATGGTCCACAAGATTAGATAAAACGAAACATCATGGTGCACACTGCATATTCTCACGAAAAACGGCCAAAGCGGGACAGCTATCACGTGAGGAAACACAACCTGATCTTTGCAAGCACCAGTGATGGATCTAGCACTGAATGGCAGGTGAATAAGGCCAAGGACACCGCAAGGGCCAATCATTTGGAATGGCATGTTCCACATTTTGAAGACTTTGATGCAAGCGTTCGGTGTAATGGAAAAATCTTACTGAAAACTGTTGGTCCGCTTTTAAGTGCAAAAGCCTTGCTGGGCCAAAAACTGATTAGCAAAAATTGTTTAGTAACTACCTTTCTCAATACGACATTCTTTTATTACGTCGTGAAATGATATTATGACTTTTATGTTTCATTATTATGAGAAGCAGGTGAGGTGGGCTCGAGCGCGCCTCTGCTGGGACCGGCTCTCGCGTCCGCGGCCACAGGCCGCATGCAACCCATGGCGGGGCGTGCTCAGTGCTGGGACTGCGGCAGAAGCCTAACCGTAACGTTTGTTTTTATCTTAATTTGAACATGTATGTTGAGTCCAGGTTGAGTACTCGAATATAGAAAGGATCATATGTTTTTGTTTTCAGTATGCGGGCATCACACACGGAAACATAAAGTATCGGTTGGGCTGCACATATTAGGTAAGTCTGGTTTTGCTTTGTCCACTAGGCTCAGGAAGTTGTCTAGCTGTTGCATTGTGAATGAGGTGAGATCGCTGACTGAGGTGGTGCCGATAGGATAGAGTTTGTGTTTTGCGGGACACGCTCAGTTTATTCCTGTATTTGTATTTATCCATTTCAGCCGATGACTTGGATAACAGACTTTTGAAGCCGTTAAATTGGCTTCGTGCCCATTCATGTTTTGTATGTATTTGCTCTGACTCATTTATCTGACGTACACGGATCCCTTCAACGAAACTTGGATGGTATTGACGAGCACGGCGGAAAGTGAGCCAACATATTTTACACATCCATAGCGATAATACATGTATTTAGCCACAAATACGTAACAC